TGGGGAAAATATGGAGAGAGAGAGAAAGTGGGAGGGGGGTGGGAATGTAAGAGAGAATATGCAACGCTGCTCTTGCCTGCAGTCTTTCAGGAAGGGTTGAATTTAGGTGTAAAGGGGATCTCTAGATTGGATCCTGGCAAATCTACTTATCTCAACAGGCTTTGATGTGAGGGTAATTGACTAAGAGGACAAAAGACCCAATTTGCAATTAGATGAAATTTCTGAGCTGGAGCAATTCAATTAGAATACAGCTTGGGTTGACAAAACATTTGTATGCTCACACCTCCCTGTGAATGGCTCCCGTCTATCCTGATACACAGATGCTTTTGGACAAGGAAAATGCTGGAACGATCGACTCTTTCCAATCTAGGGCTGGTCTTTACGCTACGTTGACTCCTCGTTTACACAGAGAAGCCCCGAGGTGATGTGACAACCGATTCGCCCAGAACTGAAAATGCTTCGCTCCCGGCTTCAACCACATGACGATTATATACCATGTTTCCCCAAAAAATAAGACCGGGTCTTATTTTGTTTGGACCCCAGCAAAATAAGCTCTTGGCCTTATTTGGGCAGAGGTCTTATTATTTTTGAGGTGAAGGAGGCCCCTCAACCTTGACCCGCGGCCCACGGATCAGCTGACTCAGAGATGGCTGAAAGTTCTGTCTCTGTTTCTGGCGCACTCATGCCAGGCCTAGCATCACTGGGCCTGCTGCTCTTTTTGCTGCTGCTCTTTTAGAGCCAAGGTGGCGCAGTGGTTTGGGTGCAGTACTGCAGGCCACTTCAGCTGACTGTTATCTGCAGTCTGTTATCTGCAGTCNTGCTTCTGTCTCAGCGCTGTTGTCGCCCTGTGATGACATCAGCTACGCGGTTTCGTCGAGCGCGCTTTAGTCGAACGCAGTTTTGTGGTGGAACCAACGCTGTTACCTTCCCACCAAAGGTGGCTCCTATTTTTCTACTTGCATTTTTATAAGTGCTTTCGAACGGCTAGGTTGGCAGAAGCCGGGACAAGTCATGGGAGCTCGCTCCATTACGCGGCACTAGGGATTCGAACCGCCGAACTGCCGACCTTTCTGATCGACAAGCTCAGTGTCTTAGCCACTGTGCCTTTCTAAGAAGCTATGAAATGAAACCCTTTCTGAAATAAGTCAATTTCTTATAAGTTTCCAACGTAATTAATCAGTTGAGCTCTTCCTTTCCACTTATTCCGGCTGTGATTGCACAACACAAGTGAGCACAAGGAAGCCAACCACATTTCAGACTGCCAAGTTAGACAGACTCAATTCCATGTAACCTAGCTAAAATTCAGAATGTTCCTGAAGCCAGAATGTATAATTAATACCGTAATCTGCGGTGAGTTCAATCATTTTACAAAACTACTGCTTCCAAAAGTTCTATAAATCGAGATTATCTTTATTTTTTATTTTTTTCAGATTGAAGTCTGCTTACTGTTTTTGTGAGCGTTCCTCATCTGGGTTTTGAGGTGTCCAACTTTTTGTGTCTTCTGTTGTCTCTTCAACCATAAAGGGAAGTGTTTTAATCCGTGAACTCAGATTAGAATTGAATGCCTTCAATTACAATGATAGCAATCCTATTTTTTTACATGCTAGAAGATTTAAAGAGAGGCTGAATGGGATCTTGGAAGAATAATGAAAACAATGCAGGAAAACAAAGGAGAGAAAGAAGAGGGGAAAATAACCCAGGGATTTGCAAAGTTCCTCCAACAGGCCTCCCAGGTACATAATATGAATGATGTAGCAAGATTTGCCGTATATAATACGACCTCACATTAAACAGAGAAAACAATTTCACAGAACATGAATAATTAAGTCTTTCCAAAGTGCAGCCTATCCTCCACCGATGGCTGTTACTAGGCAGTAGTTTATGGATGGAGGAGTTTAAAAGCCTAATAAAATACGAAGATTATATAGAATAAAAAGTCTTCCATTAATAGCTCTCTTTTTTTAATGATAGGTGAAATGAGAAACCTCTCTCTCCCTGCCTCCCACTTTCTCTCTTTCCTTCTCTCTCTCTTTCCTTACCTCCCTCTCTTTCCTTCTCTTTCTCTTTTCTTCTCCCTCCCTCTCTTTCCTTCTCTCTCTTTCCTTCTCTCGCTCTCTTTCATTCCCTCCCTCTCTTTCGTTCTCTCTTTTCTTCTTTCCTTCTCTCTCTTTTCCCCTCCCTCTTTCCTCCTCTTTCCTTCTCTGTCTTTCCTTCCATCCCTCTCTCTTTCCTTCTCTCTCTGTCTTTCCTTCCCTCCCTCTTTCCTTCTCTTTCTCTCTTTCCTTCTCTTGCTCTCTTTCATCCCCTCCCTTTATTTCCTTCTCTTTTCTTCTTTCCTTCTCTCCTTCTTTCTCTCTCTTTCCCCCTCCCTCTTTCCTTTTCTGTCTTTCCTTCCCTCTCTCTCTTTCCTTCCCTTCCTCTCTTTCCTTCTCTTTCTCTTTCCTTCTCTTTCTCTCTTTCCTTCTCTTGCTCTTTCATTCCCTCACTCTCTTTCCTTCTCTCTTTCCTACTTTCCTTCTCTCTTTCCTTCTCTCTGTCTTTCCCTCTCCCTCTTTCCTTCTCTGTCTTTCCTTCCCTATCTCTTTCCTTCTCTCTCTGTCTGTCCTTCCCTCCCTCTTTTTCCTTCTCTTTCTCTTTCCTTCTCTTTCTCTCTCTTTCCTTCTCTTGCTCTCTTTCATTCCCTCCCTCTTTCCTTCTCTCTTTCCTTCTCTCTCTGTCTGTCCTTCCCTCCCTC